GTCTCCTGAGATCCCTTCCAACCCTCACCGTTTTGTGGTTTCATGATTCTGTGATTTGTTTCTCTGTGATTCTAGGTGTTATGCTTAGAGTGACGATAAATGTATACTTCAGGTTCTAAACCAGATGTTGCAAAAGTTGTAGTAGAAAAAGGGTTGCAAAGAACTGATAAAATAGATTTCTCCTATTTAATCGTGAGTATTTGTTTACCATATCTGACAACTTCAGCATGTGCATAACTTTCTGGTTCATTTAAATACGGGTGTTCAGAACACTTGAAGATGTTTCTTTTTATTTACTTTTATTTCCTGCTTATCCAATTAAAGATAATATTACAAATACAGACCTCTTGAAGACACTTACTCTTATTCCACTCAACACTTTAGTAAATCAAGAGTTATTCACCTGAAATCAATGCATTGACAAAAAATTGGGGTGAGACCCATCTCCTCCATTTGACTTGAAAGTAATTTGGTGATAATAAACAAAAATTATAAACTAAAGTCTTTACATTCTAAATTTCAGCAATTTAGAAACTCCGATTCTTTGAAGCCAGTGACAGCTTTCTTATTGTCCCATCTTCCTTGTAATTCAGTAGTGGATTAATGGAGATTTATCTGGACACAGTGACAATAATCTACAATGTTTTCTAATGGATTTGATACCCATCATTTTATTAATATACAAAATTATGATGATTCCTACTGAACAAATGTATATTGGACATGACATATACTGTTACATTTACTCAATATACTTGATTTGAGTGACTAGTTAACTAGGATCCCTGTATTGCAAACATGAGTTTGAAATCAGTATGGCTGATTTTGATTGCACTTTTCATGATGTTCACTCCCTATAGCAAAGACATAAATCAATAAAGTAAATAATATTTTTGCTTAAAAGGTACCAGCTGTTGATCACTTTTGCAGACTGCTGTTTGTTACTTCGGTATTGATTACCATTAATGAAGCGTTGCTTCAAATACAAGATACTAACATTACACAGAATCACACAGAATTGTCTCGATTGGAGAACACGTTTAAGATCATCGAGTCCAATCATTAAACCAACACTGACAAGTCCCCGACTAACCCATGTCCCTCAGCACTGTGTCTACACAACTCTTCAATCCCTCCAGGGATGGGGCCTCCACCACTGCCCTGGGCAACCCCTTCCAATGCCTCAGAACCCTTTCAGCAAAGAAATTCTTCCTCACATCCCATCTCAACTGCCCCGGGCACAAATTGAGGCCATTGCCTCTTGTCCTGTCCCTTGTTCCTTGGTTGAACAGACCCCCCCCCACCTCTCTACCCCCTCCTTTCAGGGAGCTGGAGAGAGCCAGAAGGTCTCCCCTCAGCCTCCTTTTCTCCAGGCTCAACAGCCCCAGTTCCCTCAGCCAGGAACTCGTCACACTTGTGGTCCAGATCCTCCCCCATCTCCATTGCCCTTCTCTGGACACGCTCCAGCACCTCCATGTCCTTCTTGGAGTCAGGGGCCCAACACTGAACCCAGCACTTGAGCTGCAGCCTCACCAGTGCCCAGTGCAGGGGGAAGAGAACTTCCCTGGTCCTACTGGCCACTCTATTGCTGATCCAGGCCAGGATGCTGTTAGCCTTCTTGGCCACCTGGGCACTCTGTTGAATCATGTTCAGCCAGCTGCCAGCCAACACCCCCAGGTCCCTCTCTGCCCAGCAGCTCTCCCCCCACTCCTCCCCAAGCCTGTCGCGCTGCCGGGGGGTGTTGTGACCCAAGTGCAGAACCTGGCTTTTTAATCTTTAGTCATGTGATATGAGGCATGATTTTCAATAGAGAGTGCTGAGTATTTAAAAGTACTGTGTATCTAAAATCCACTTAACTTCAGTGGAATAGATCTTTCAAACAAAGTTTTCTGATGTGTCTAGAATATATTCATTATACAAAATATTTACTCCTCCCTGATTATATCATGCTATTTATTTTGAGATTATGTTAATACCGATTGTTTGCAATTTTTCATTCAATTTCAAAATATCAAATGTGCTCAACTTTGAAACAAAGAAGATGTTTTCTGAAGTTTCAAGAAAGCAAATTCTACTTGAGACTTGAAAACACAGCTCTGCACTGTGGGCCTTGAGGTTCTCATGAATAATGAGAATTAGTGTTTCTAAATGGTTTGGTTTCATGCTTCTAGTGGAACTGGGTTTAGATCTTGCTCTTAGCTATTTGACTTCTATATTTTTATTTAGCAGAGTAAAAGCTTGGTATTTTCAGGTAAGTAAGCATAAACATCATGGAAGTATAGAGCATGTTGGATGACAATGGAGATAATTTCTCTTCAAGCTCCAGTGGTAACTTTGGATATGTTTTCTTTCTTTCTTTCTTTCTTTCTTTCTTTCTTTCTTTCTTTCTTTCTTTCTTTCTTTCTTTCTTTCTTTCTTTCTTTCTTTCTTTCTTCTAATTTTAAGAGCCTCATATTGAAAGAATCTGTTTATTTTTACAGTAAGCCCAAAATGAACAAATAAACAAAAACACACCTATGAGACCAACAATACCTTTTGTTTTCCTGAAAAAAAACCCCCCAAAACCCCCCAAAAACACCTTAAAATTTTTATTGAATAATAAAAACAGGAGTTTGGGAAAACATTGACTTAATCTTAGTAACAATGGTAAGTGTGGCCCCCGTTCATCACAGTCAGTAAATTATCCTCCAAAAATTTAATGAAGCAAAATATTGGTACATTGGTTGTAGTTGGAGAAGCATATATTTATCAGTTAAGTTTGCAGCAAGACCCACAAGCTGGAATGGAATGGCAGGTGGGTCTGTGTTTACAACATGGCCAGAAGAGGTCAGCTAGCTCTCCAGAAGCACTCCTTCAGCACGTCCCAAAGACCTGGCAGTAGGAGGACAGTTTCTGTTTTTCTGAGTGTACAGAGAGTAATTTGGCTGTAAAAAATTTACAAGAGAAACCAATTTTGAAGTTTCCCTTTAGATCTAAGAGATTAAAATCTAAAGTTTTGGGAATATGAGTGTGTTTAGGTGAGAAACTGGTAGTAAATCAGGTGTGTTGCTGAATGTACAAGTTTTCCTAGTTTTTTGGAAGCAAGCAGCAATGCACAATTAATCCTGCTCAGAAATCCCTTCAGGACTATTCCAGATAGTTCTGTGCTTTAGGAGCTCTGTTGATTTCTCTTCTTGAGGTCACGTGGAAATTTCTTTTATTGTTCTTTTCTTCAACTCATGCAGGTTTATAATGTATACCCTTGAGGTGGTTTCACCCTTTTGGCTGCAGCCAAACCCAGTCGCTCTCTCACTCTCCCCCCCTCCAGAGAGCAGGGGAGAGAACTGGAAGGAAAAGGGCAAAGACACTCACGGGTTGAGATAAGGACAGTTTACTAATTACAATAAAATAATAATAACAGTAATAACAGAATATACAAATGAGTGATGCCCAGTGCAGTTACTCACCACCCACCGAACAATGCCCAGCCTGTCCCAGCCAGTGATCCTGGAGCAGAGACAGTCCCAAACACAAACCACAATCCTAGAAGAGTGAGAGCCTGAGCGATCCCCAAGAGAATACCTCTGATTTCCAGTCAACCCTGGTTAATATACTGACATGATGTGATATGATATGAAATATTTCATTGGCACATCCAAATGCCAGTTCTGGATTTTGCTAATGACTATGCTTCTCCATCCCAGTCCTAATGCAGCTGTGAACCAGCCAAACACGATGGCCTTGAGCTCCAGCAGCAACTAATAACATTAGTATTTATCAACATCCTTCTCGTAACAAATGCCACACTGAAACTAAACCACAGCTATTCTAGCTACTGAGAAGAAAATTAACTCTATCCCAGCAAAACCAGGACAACCCTAAACCCTTCGTTGCAGCCATGGAAGTCCTGGTTACACTCAGCCAATTCTTACCTTGGCTATACGGCCTGGTGCATTGAATAGTGGTTTGTATTCCTCTTGGATTGTAAGAAAGACTTTCTTTGGCCCTAAGTCCCTTCCCTACAGTGGAACAGATTAGCACTTTTGTTCCGATGAACTTTATGAACCTATTAGCATGCAATTTTAATATCTTCTATATACCTACTGTGTAGTTCAGGGACCTATTGTCTATTGAGTTCAGGGAAGGGATTAAAATACTGACTAATAAAGCAGAGGACTTCACCAGTGTGTATTTGTATTGCTTCCCTAGCTGAGGAAAGATTTTACTCTCCCTTGTGCTGTCTCCCAGGGGAAATCCTTGCTATTGTAGTTGTTTGCCACTCTGGTTTCCTCCTATTTCTGAGATTCTGTCTATGCTGTTAAAAGAATTACAGTAAAACTATTAGGGCCAAGTTTAAAGAATTGTTTTTTCCTTTTATGCCTCCCTTTAGATTCTCAGGAAAAAAATAAGTGATTTTGTGCAGCTGGTTTCATGAAATTTTGTCTTTTCTGGTGTAAACATGCTGCATTTCAGAAGCAGACAGTCATGAACTACATTTCACAGAATCACAGAATCGCAGTGGTTGGAAAAGACCTTTAAGATCATCCAGTCCAACCATAAACCCAACACAACCAATTTCACCTCTAAACCATGTCCCTGAGCACCTCGTCTGCCCGGCTGTTAAATCTCACCAGGGAAGGTGACTCCACCACCTCCCTGGGCAGCCTGTTCCAGTGCTTGACTGCCCTTTCGGTGAAGAAGTTTTTCCTTAGATCCAATCTAAACCTCCCCTGGTGCAACTTGAGGCCATTTCCTCTTTAACTCGTTACAGGAGTAGCAGGTTTAGTCCTTGGACCATGCAGCTTTCTTACTTTTTAAAAATGTATTTACACATTTTAAAGCAGTTTTAATTAGGACAGTATACCCTCTATAATGTTTCTGTTCAGAGAGTCTCTTGCTTGACCACATTACATGGAAGGAACTAGGTGTACACTTCTGCTGGCAAGTTTATCCAGCTGCATGATAATCAAGGCATTTCACCGAGATCATCAGGCCATTTCACCAGGATGCTGAGACTCCACCTCAAATTCTACCTCTTCCCTGTATGATTAGAATCTGTATCACAAGGAGGCCCTTCTCACTGCTTTGTCATAAAGGATTCATAAAGGCAAATAATGAAGTCATCAAAACAAATCTCCCTCAGGTGATGTTGTTTTACTCTGTGATGTATTTGAATTTTCACTCCAGGAAAAAAAAGGACCTATCCTGCTGGATTATGGATGCTCTGTAGAATCTAGTCTTCCTCTTATCCTGTAGTACTGGGTAAAGTTGCTGCATGTTTTATCATTTCAGAGGCTGCACCCTGAGTTACCTCTTAGCCTGGAAGAGCTTGAAAAAGTTTTTGTCACATTGGACGCTGATGGCAATGGCTCACTTACCCTAAAGGAGTTCACCGCAGGATTCAGTGAGTTTGGAGAGCCTGCCTCCTGTATAGAGCTTTATTCATATTCTATACTCTCCACATCGATAAAAAAGCATTTTATCTTAACAGTACACTTAACAATGCGCACAGGGAGCCAGACTGTTCCCCAGATACAGCAGATACATGTGATGGATGAAGAAGTGGTCAAATGAAATCTATGAATAGACAAAGAGCTCCAGGGTCTTTCTCTCCTGTGTAAGATGGGAAGCCTGTAACACAGTATGAGACATATGATGTAACCATCTGGATTACACCTGTTTTAAGCTGTGGTGTAGATCTATGAACAAATTTTGGAAAATATCCCTTGGGAGGAAAAAAAATCTTCTGTTTTTATTTCATATCAGGTCATAAAACCTGAGACATAATTAAGATTACCTCAAAGATTAATGTAAGGCAATGTTGAAAATGTGTTAATACCACTGTCCTTACCACTGTGAGAATGCTTTCTAAACAAATTAATTCTTCAAGTGATGTTATTTCAAAATAAAACAGGGTGAGGCGATTATAATTACTGCATGATGGGAGTTGATCAGTTCTTTGTAACTACCTGCTTTGCATTTCGTAATGTTTATGAAAGGATTGTTTTCTCCCCAGCTGTGAAGTTCCAGATAAGATGACAGTGCTAGTGAGGCTGTGTTTGGTTGTTTATGCTGAATTAGTTTTGTACTTAAATTTTAGCTCTGTTGACTATAAGCATCAGGTTTAAGCATTTTCTCTAGAAAACAGAATCTCTGCTAGGTGTGGATTGTAACATTAAATCTCCATTTAAATACTATGTATAGGCCCAGCAAGTAAGACCTTCATTTTTATTTGCAAATCTCAATAATTTGAAATTTTAATTCTTTCATGTCCCACTTCTCCCATTTTTAGAGCTAGATCAAGTATTTTAATAAAGAGGATCCTCTAATCTGCAAGTTGGTGTTATTTAAAACTGAAATAATGTATTACTGCTTTATTTTTCATAAGTATACATATTTCATAGTTAAATTAAGATTATTTTCATAAATAGTCCCTGCAAAACCAACATTTTTTCTGTCAAGGGAAATTGTAAGTGACTGCCATCTCCAGCAGCTCCAAAGCCTGGGGATTCCTCCTGCCCAACTGCTGGAGCCCAGTCCAGAGATCCAGGTGGATGTGGCTGCTGCTTTCCTGTTCACAGGTTCAACTGGTAGTGAAGTTAAATGTGTGTTTGGGTAGGTGATGGTGTTGATGTTCCTAGTAGAAGCAGAAGCTACTAGATAAAGGCTGCTTTAGAAAACTTGAGAATGGAGAAAGCAGAGCAGTGTCTGGATAACACTTGTGCTGCACCCATTAATATGGGAGAATCCCATTCCTATATCTAAATGGTGCGAAATCTGAAATTTACTGTAACCTCTCTTTGCAACATATTCACTTGTCTCTGTTGTCAACACACTCTACTGGGTGCTATGAGAAAAAATGCAAGCTGGAGTTGATAAAACCAGGAAATAACACCACTATTCTGTTTCCTTGGGTCTATGGTAACTTCTGTACTAGAATTTAGAATATAACCAAAGATCCTCTGGAGAAAATCACAATTGCCTAGAGTCGTTAAAATTTCGGACTTGCAGGTGTTCAGATAAAATAGCTGGCACGTTTTGGATTTGATGGAATGTATCTGGTCTTCTGCAGTTCAGCATAAATGCATTGATTATTCCTGTGGCAATTTTGCTTCTGCATCCTCACTGTACAACTACTGTACTTCTTGCTTCCTTCTTTTTGTGGACGTAGCTAAAAAGCCTGTAGCTGTTTGTTTTAGTATACTTTGCACATCTGAGTATTTTGGGCTCTCTTGTCTATATATATACACATATATATATACCCTTTTTATCTCCCAAGTTGTAGCTTTCTTCTTTTGGTCATTGTATTCATTGTAGGATCTCAGCTAACCTCTTTTTTGAGGTCAATATTGATACAGTTAGATCTGAAGTCAGGTCAGATACAGTCAGACACAGTCATATCCTACAGTACCTACATGTCCCCTCCACACCTTCCCACTTTGAGATACAAGTTTAGATAGTTTTGCACTTTTGAAGATAGTTTCAAGCTTCATCTGTTCATTGATTTACTTGAATCCCAGACAATGTTTCTGTATTCACCCAGGTTACCCGTCCTTGCTTCCACCCTCTGTGTTCTTTCTTTTTCTGTTTGATTTTGGCCAGGAACTCCTTGTTCATCCATGCAGGTCTCCTGGCATTTTTGCCTCGCTTCTTATTCACTGGGATGGAGCTCTCTTGAGCTTGGAGGACGTGATCCTTGAATATTAACCTGCTTTCTTTGGCACCTCTTCCCTGTAGGGCCTTGTCCCAAAGGACCCTTCCAAGCAGATATTTGAAGAGGCCAAAGTCTTCTCTCCTGAAGTCCAGGGTTATGAGCTTGCTTTTCACCCACCTCACTGCCCTCCAACTCCTGAACTGCACCATTTCATGGTCACTGCAGCCAAGGCTTTCTTTTGACTTGCACACCCCTAACAAGACCATCCTTGTCAGTAGGTATGAGGTCCAGCAGAGCACCTCTCCTCATTGGCTCCTCTATCACTTTGAGGAGGAAGTTATCAACCCCCCTGGCTTGCTTATGTCCTGCTGCATTGTCCCTCCAACAGATATCAGAGAGCTTGAAGTCCCCCATTAGTACCAGGGCCTGTGAACTTGAGGCTGTTCCTGTTTGTCTGTAGGAGGTCTCATCCATTTGTTTTTCCTGGTTGGGTGGCCTATAGCAGACATCCACTGTACTGTCCCCTTTGCCAGTCCTTTCTTTAATCCTAACTCATAAGCTCTCCATCAGCTTGTCTTCTATCCCCACACAGAACTCCATGCGTTCCAGCTGCTCTCTCACAGTAAAGGACAGCTCCTCCTCCTGGTCCTCCCTTCCTGTCCTTCCTAAAGAGCCTGTGTCTTTCCATTGCAACACTCTGGTCATGGGAGCCATTCCACCGCATGTCCATGATCCAGTCTTTTTGTTATTAACAGAAATATACCAAACAGATGAAAGAAACTGCTGTACGGGTCAATTTTAGAGGAATTAAAATGCATGTGAGTCAAATGGAGGGAAATAAGTGTTAGTAAAATGTGCCTTTCTATATGCAATTTATACAGGAATTTGAGATGTGCCATAGGTCATGCACTAAAACGAATGTTAAAATAGGAGGTACTTTTTATCAGTAGCAATGCTGTGGTTATTTTAGATTCCTAACTTTTGTTTAAGCATATCAAGAAATAAGGCCACAACATTTATAAAGTGCTTGTTGCTCTAATTTATGTCTTTTGTTTATGAAGGTCTGAATTTTTGCAATATGTTTGTGAATTTTGAGATGAGTGATTTATTGAAGGTTAGACATTAAACTGGGGATGAAGTCAAGCACAGAATTCCGGGATCCTCTTGCCGTGCCTCATGCTTTTGCTGTTTCACTATTTGTGACTTTTCTTGTCAACAAGTGTAGGTGCTTCCCTCACAAATTAAATTTACCCTGAAATTTGATCTTTAGTATGTTGTTCTTCAACTATGTTGCTTTTTATAGTAAGTTATGAAGATATTAACATGTGTAATTTCTAATTCTTAGGTCAGTTTCTTTTAGGGCAGATTGCTTTGAATAATGAGGTAATGCAACAATCAGAAGGTGAAACAGCCTGCCCACTTAAATGCAAAGAGACAATAAGTGATGACGAGGATGAAGAATTCCAGTTCTCAAATCTGATGGATCGGCTTGGAGCTAAAAAGGTTTTGGATGAGTGAGTCTTTGCAGCAATAGTAATAGATTGCATGATCTTTCATGATTCAGCTCTGGGTTTGATTTTAATGGAATCCAAGATGAATGACGAGAACCAAGGCTTCTCAGCCTTGATTCCTTAAAAATAATTTTCTTGGTTTTCAGAGATGATAAAATACTATTCCACAAAAATTTCCAAGAGCAAAGCTATTGTACTACAAGCATATGAATCGTGTTTGTGCCACATGAAAGCTATACCATTAACCTGCTTATGTACCATGGGTTTTGAACATAATTACTAGCATCTAATGCACAGTTGCCACATATTTTCAATCAGACAATGCACGATGACTGCTTTTTTGGCAAGGGCTTTGTTTAAAGTGCACTAGTTAACCATAAGAAAGAAGGTTTTCTCCCCTTTTTCTACTTTTTCTGCCCTCCATACATAATTTTGTATTGTGATTGCCTCTTCCAGGACAAGGATGACTCAATCTGGAATGGAAAAAAACTGCTCTAAGAGCTTCTTGTGTGTTGGCCTGACATTCATTGGTCAGTCACAATGAATGTTCTAGGTTAAAAGAAGCATGTGGCAAAAATGGGAGACACTCAGGACAGATAGTAGGAATGTTTAGGAAATACATCAGTGATCCTTACTGTGAAATAGAAGTGCTCATTAGTGCTTCTCTTTACCTGACTGCCTGTTACAGGAAAGAGCTGATTGTCAGTCATCCTGAAAGGGTTTCATTATGAAGAGATTTTTACCATCCACTTTTTCTATCCTTATCCTCATTTTGTCCTTTAAATACAGCACTTTGCTGGCTAGGTTCTGGCTTACAATGCGCATGGAAGAGAGTGAGTTGGGAAGAAACAAACAAAAGAAGTTGTTCAGGAGAGTTTTGGCAAAGTATTATAAACCTCATTATCATTTACAGTAAAATGTGTTTTTTCCATTATCTGCTGAACAGATTGGGCAACAAAACATTTGCTTGGTAAATCTTTAAATACAAATTTTCAAGGTGTTGTGTTCTGATTTTTGTAGCAGTCCCACTGTGGAAATAAAATGGGTTGAAAATGAAAGGAGACAGTACAAATGAAATTTGTTAACTTTTCTAAGTAACTTAGGAGACTGAGTCTCATTCATTTCTCATGAGGAAGTGGTTTTGATTCCCACTATCTCCTCCCCACTAGGTTCATGGGAACTTCTTTACTTCTAATAGAAGTGACAGGATCATAGCATCATTGAATTATTTTGGTTGAAAAAGACCTTTAAAATCATTGAGTCCTACTATTAACTTGGCACTGCCAAGTCCACCAGTAAACTATGTCCCTAAGCACCACGTCTACATCTGCCAGGCATGGTGACTCAACCTGGCGTTGAAGTCAAGGGAAGCCTGTTTCAATGCATGACACTTCCAGTGAAGAAAGTCTTCCTAATATCCAATTAAACCTCCTCTGGTGCACCTTGAGGCCATTTCCTCTTGTCCTATCACTTGTGACTTGGGAGAAGGTACTGACACCCACCTCACTGCAACCTCCTTTCAGGGAGTTGTAGAGAGCAAGAAGGTCTCCCATCACAGTGTATCTCATCTGTCTGCTTTCTCACCCATTCCTGTTCAGATGAAGTGTCTGGCAAGACACCCACTAAACAAGCAGTTCCTGTGATTCTGCAGTCGTGCATAGCCAAACTGCATGTTGCATTTTTTTTTTTAATAAATGCAATTTACTTAATTTCCCACCTACCTCTTCCTTTTCAAATAGAGTGCCACCTAAGTAGACCTTGTTTTTAATCAGCCTTGTGTTCTGACTAGTAATGCCCTAAAGCCCCCATCCACTAGGATGTTGTGAACATTTATTGCAGCCTGAGAAATATTCTCTCTTAACGAATCCTTTATGATCTCTTTTTTCAGTGAAAGTGATGTGAAGCAACTTTGGTTGCAGCTCAGAAAAGATGAACCTCATTTACTTTCCAATTTTGAAGAGTTCTTGGTCAGAATTTTCTCACAGCTCCAGGAAGCAGACAATGAAAAGAACGAGTTGGAATGTGCTCTAAAAAGGTTAGTACTTCTCTTTCTTGGACTCTTTGTGTAATTTTACAACTATCTTACCCACTATTTGAACCTTTGAAATAAACAACGTGTTTCAGTGAAGAACTGAGGATTGTAATCTCAAGAAATCTCCTAACATACATGTAATCTCAAGAAATCTCCTAACTCTTTTATAAAGAGTACCAGTAAAATTTTTTATAATGCAGAACTGGCTGAAGTTAGCTTTTCTCTTCCAGTTAACACATTTTCTTGACTGAAATTCTTTTTCCGATGTCTATTATTGCATTACAGTTTTAAGACAATATAAAGTAATTCACTTCCAGTTAATCAGTTTGATTCCAGATTTACCAGTAAAACTGGTAAATTGTGTGTGTGCTTTGCAAACATTGTATGCAGAAAAGCTGTGAATCTGGATTAACTGTCGAGAGAAATAAGAAGTTTAAGATGTTAAAGCAGCATAAAGCACTGATACCAGTGAAAATGTAAGATAACAAATACATTTATAAACCAAACATGAAATATAGTAAATATATATTGGTTTTATGTATAAAAACATATAGGTATATAATGTGTATATATAAAAACAAATAGAATCATAGAATCATAAAGGTTGGAGAAGACCTCTAAGATCATCAAGTCCAACCATAAACCCAACACCACTGTTCCCACTAAACCATGCCCCAAAGCACCACATCTACACATCTTTTAAATCCCTCCATGGATGGGGACTCCACCACTGCCCTGGGCAACCCCTTCCAATGCCTGAGAACCCTTTCAGCAAAGAAATTCTTCCTCATATCCAATCTCAACTGCCCTGGGCACAACTTGAGGCCATTTCCTCTTGTCCTGTCACTTGGTCCTTGGTTGAACAGACCCACTCCCCACCTCTCTACACCCTCCTTTCAGGGAGTTGCAGAGCCAGAAGGTCTCCCCTCAGCCTCCTTTTCTCCAGGCTCAACAACCCCAGTTCCCTCAGCCGGGAACTCAGCACACTTGTGCTCCAGACCCTTCCCCAGCTCCATTGCCCTTCTCTGGACATGCTCCAGCACCTCCATGTCCTTGGAGTGAGGGGCTCAAAACTGAACCCAGCACTCGAGGTGCTGCCTCACCAGTGCCAGATACAGGGACACTATCACTGCCCTGGTCCTACTGGCCACTCTATTGCTGATCCAGGCCAGGATGCCGTTGGCCTTCTTGGCCACCTGGGCACTCTGTTGACTCATGTTCAGCCAGCTGCCAACCAATACCCCCAGGTCCTTTTCTGCTGAGCAGCTCTCCAGCCACTCCTCCCCAAGCCTGTAGCATTGCAAGGGGTTGTTGTGACCCAGGTGCAGGACCGGGCACTTGGCCTCATTGAACCTCATACAATTGGCCTTGGCCCATCGATCCAGCCTGTCCAGATCCCTCTGTAGAGTTTTCCTATCCTCAAGCAGATCAACGGTCCCACCCAGCTTGGTGTCATCTGCAAACTGGCTTAGGGTGAACTCAATCCCCTCGTCCAGATCATTGATAAAGGTGTTAAACAGGACTGGCCCCAACGCTGGGCTGGGGAACAACATACATAAACCCAAATATGTAAAGAACTAAAAATTAATAGAGCTTCCTTTGATATGTAGCTATCTAGAGGGAAAACAATTGTGATGCTAAATCTAAACAGAATGCAAAATAATGCTTCTAGTTGAAGTTCCCCTGTATTTTTATTATAAGATGTCACTTCCAAATTTGAGATTCTTACAGACTGAGTAATAAAGGCAAATATATTGTTGAACATTTACTTCATTTGTTCAGCACTCTCCTGGCTATTCAGAGAATGTGACAAGGCTTTTGAAGAAAAACAAAACCTAAAAATGTGTGGTCATTAAAAAAAATTGGTTTATATTGATAGCAGCATTTTCATCTAAGCCTACAAGTGTGGTTTAAGCCTTCAGACAGCTAGTCAGTTGAAAACAGCGTAGAGATAGTTGTGCTGTCTGGTTTAGACTAGAGATTATTAACCACCATGTGTGGTGAGGGTTTTGTTTTGTGGGTTTTGGTGGGTTTTTTTGGTCAGACCCTTGTCAGTGTTGTTTGGGAACTGAGTGAATAAATTGATCTGTTTAATAGCTGTGATCATCACAGAGGTGCATGCAGAATACACTAGCATTACCTGACTTTTCTGGCTGACATGAAATCTCTACCTTAAAAATGCACTGGATTTTTATGCCTTTGTAGTAAAAACAGGTTTTAGCTAATTTCTTCTTTCTGTTGCTCCTGATAACACATCTAATTTCAGCGCATAGGTCATTGTTTTGTTTGTAATCGCTAGCTGGAAGGAGTCAGAACTATCAGAGGAGTAATATTGTCTTTGGTAACAGTGAGGATGGATAACCTCTTTTATTTTAAGCTGTGTACAAATAGCAGCAAAGCCAAAGACAAGACCATATAGGGAGGGAAAAATATTTTTTTTGTCCCCACGTACTTATTAGCACTAAGATGCACATGTCCACATAGACTGGCCAGGATTTACTGTGGGGTCACAGAAAATAAGGAATTACAGAATCACAGAATGTTAGGTATTGGAAGG